ACTGGTGCCCGCTCAAGCAAGTAGATGAACAGCGGGAGGACAGTGCTATGGTGCTACAGAAAGTAGTTAATGGGGCTGGAGAACTAGTACGGAGGATGCGGCACTTGCTTTGCATGTGTCTGATTGGGTTCAGTTCCTGGCACTCCATAAGGTCCCTTGAGCACTGCCAGGAGTAATTCCTGAGCACCAATCCAGAGCCTCAGCAGGTGTTGCGCAAAACAAACCAAAAAAGTAGTTTATAATTCTGTCACTGTCACTGTCATTGTCCTCCCGTTGTTCATCGATTTGCTCGAGCAGGCCCAGTAACGTTGTGAGACTTGTTACTGCGTTTGGCATATCGAATACGTCACGGGTAGCTTGCCAGGCTTTGCCGTGCGGGTGAGATACCCTCCGTAGCTTGCCAGGCTCTCCGAGAGGTGAGGAGGAATCGAACCTGAGTCAGCCAGGTCAGTTGCGTGCAAGGCAAATGCCTTACCCGCTGTGCTATCGCTTCAACCCATGATAGCACTAAATTATAATATTTTTTCCTCTTCTTTTTATTTTTTTATTTATTTATTGAACCACTGTGGGAAAAGTTAAAAAGCTTTCAGATTTAAGTCTTGGTCATGCAAATATCAAACACATTTCCCTTTACCAATACTTATTTTTCACCACGAAGAACCCCAAGACCCCCCCCCCCAACGCTACCAATGCCTGGGAGGCAGATGAATTCTAGTTAACACTCTATCTACTTTGATTAGATTCATTGTTTCGACAAAAGATGCACCATTATTAGAGTTTACACCCCCAAATCAGACATGCTGAAAAGGCATTGTGAAATAATTTATTTTCTACAGCTGATCACGAATCAAATGATGTCGCGCGGGCGATTTTGGATTTCTGGTATTTTACTTATTAAGCCTGAAGATATTTCTTGCTGAGAGTCAGATAATTATGAGATTGGTTTCTGTGCTCTGGAGCAATGGCCATGCTGGAGAGCCGCTCGTGGGGGGCAACTCGTGACCTCGGTAGGGCGTGAAGGACGAGCCGGAACGCCCCCCTTCCCATGAGGTTTCAGTCGCCCCATCATAACCAGCTCACACCTGGCTTTCCATAAAGCTCCGAAGCGGCTGCCATCTTTCTTTCTAGAGGGAAAAAGGCCTAAATTATAATTTTTAAGATTTTTTTGACATGTAATATTAATCTTAGGTATATAGCATAAAGATTGCATATGTGTATATATTATGAAATGAGTACCACAGTAAGCTTAGTAATGTCGTCGTTCACTTTTACATATATATTTGGCAGGGCGCCCTCCCACCTGGTGATCAGGAGGTACTTGTACCCCAACAGAGGTTCTTGGCCAGCTGGGCCTGCAGATCAATGCGAGGGCCCGAAGATGTGATGTTGCTTGGGCCCTGCAGTGCCAGGTATACCCAGGCTACCCTGTAGGGTATGCACACAGGGCTCATCAGGAGGTGCTCAGAGAACCACGGGGTGCTTGGTATCAAATCTGCATGCTTAGCATCTGCCCTAACTGCTGTACAACCTCCTGGCCACACTTACTGTTTTTAAGTAAAACAAAGTTTTCTGTTTGCCCCCAGATCTTTAATATGGCCATGGTTTTTGGTCTTGTTTTGTTTTTTAAACTTTTTTTTTTATTGAGTCACTGTAAGATAGCCCCTTACAAAGCTGTCCATGATTGGATTTCAGTCATACAATGTTCCAACACCCATCCCTCCACCAGTATACATTTCCCACAACCAATGCCCCCAGGTTCCCTCCATCACCCCCCACCTTCCACCTCCTGTTTGCCTCTATGCCAGTCGCTTTTGCTTCTCTCCCTCTCCCCCCACAATCTGTCTGTCTGTCTGTCTGTCTGTCTCTCTCTCTCTCTCTTTCTCTCTCCCTCCCTCTCCCTCTCCCTCTCCCTCTCCCTCTCCCTCTCCCTCTGCCGCTCTCCTTTTGTGCATTGTGGTCTGCAATATTGACACTGAAAGTTTACCAGGAATATCCCTTTACCTACTTTTAACCCTCAGTTCTTGTCCCGCTTGATCATTTCCAGCTATTGTTGTCATACTGGTCCCTTCTCTATCTTACCTACCCACTATCTCATATTCATAATGTGGAAGATTTTGTAACACACACATTTCCAACCCAAATAATGAAATCTTACCAATTTACTTCTCACTGCTTATTTTTGTAAGGGAAAGTTTCCTTCATCACGTTTTAATTTGATACAGTGCCTGAAGGAATTATGACATAGTAACACTGAGTCTCCAAACTTCTTGCTCCTCTCTCATTTGGTAATAAGAAGTCAGCTCTACTCTAACAGACTTCTTTTAGTGGGGATCTCCAGTCAAGGACAAGTTTTTTTTTTTTGTAAACACTGCAGCTATTTTAACCAGAAATCTTCCTGATAACCTTTGAAGGATAGAAAAAAAAATTAGCTTACTATTTCATTTTTTAATTTTCATAAAATATAAATATAATTTTTTCAGACTTTAAAATACACAAATGTTAACCAATTCAAATATAGATATTTATATCACTTCAAATATAAGTACCCAGAGATAACATTTATATTTGATTACTATATTACTAGTTATTTCTTTGTGTGTCCTCTCTCTCACATACCTGAAATCTCCTACACACATTTATTATGTAATACATATGTTTTTTTCTTCTTCTTTTTTTGTAGGAGTACTGCTATTTATTCAGCCACTGATTAGCTGATTGAATTGTGCATGAACTCCACCTTACTTTTTTTTCTTTTTCCATTTTTTATAATTTTATTTATTGAATCACCGTGAGAGCAGTTACAAAGCTTTTGGGTCTAAGTCTCAGTCATACAATGAAACACCCGTACCTTCACCAGTGCCCATTCTCTACCACCAAAAATCCCAGTATACCCCCATCCCACACCCTCCCCCTGCCTGTGGGGCAGATGATTTCTACATTACTCTCTCTCTACTTTGATCACATTCACTATTTCGACACCAGACCCACCATTATTTAAGATTTTACCCCAACACTCAGATCTGCTGAAAAGGCAAGAATAGACAATTTGTGTTCTATTGCTGCTTATGAATAACATATGATGTCGTGTGGCTGCAGTAGGGCCATGTGGTTTTGAAGTTCTGAAATTTTAACACTTAAATCTGGAGGGATTTCTGCCAAAAGCCGCTGGGTTTCAAGATCTGTTTCTGAGTCTCTGGGATCAAGGCCGTTGAGCAGCTTGATGAGGAGCCAGAGAGGCCGTTTGTGGGCGATGACTTGGGGTCTCGTTAGGGTGGGGAGGAGAGGCCCGGCTCCACCTCCCCCCCATCCCGTGAGACCCAACAAGTTTCGTCACTGCGGGCCCAAGCCTGACTGTCCAATGGCCTCTGGAGGATGACAGCCACCAAGTCGCCAAGAGGGAGCAGGTGGAGGGACAACACCCTTTCCTCCCTGGGGTGGCCCGGCGACAGTAACGTACTGTGGAGTCCGGATGCATTTCTGCCAAACGCCACTGGGTTTTGAGATTTGTTTCTGAGTCTCTGGGATCATGGCCGTTAAGCAGCTTGATCAAGAGCCAGAGAGGCCATTCGTGGGCGATGACTTGGGGTCTCGTTGGGGTGGGGAGGACAAGCCCGGCTCCACTCTCATCCCGTGAGGCCCTGTGTGTCCCGTCACTGGGGGCCCAAATGTGACTATCCAGTGGCCTCAGATGGATGGCGGCCACTGGGCCACCAGGGGGAGTAGGTCAAGGCACGAAACCTATTCCCACCTGGGTTGGCCCAGCACCGGTAGCCTACTGCAGAGACCAGATGCATTTCTACCTAAAGCCACTGGGTTCTGAGATTCGTTTCTGAGTCTCTGGAATCATATCCATTAAGCAGTTCAATCAGGAACCAAAGAGGCCTTGCCTCCAATTATATAGCTGAGCCGGAGGTGGTTTGTGGGTGTGTTTCCCACATACCTAACTTTTGGCCATTTACTTTCTTGGTAAACTTTGCCCCAAGTTTTTGGGGTCTGGCCAAAGGCACAGCAGCAATTTGGGGGTATCTGGAAGTCTGAAGGCACCATGAGGCTGCTGATGCACTCGCCTCACGGGTACAGATTGACCTGCTGGCTGCACCATACCCCCTTGTAATACATATGTTTAACAAAGAGACCGTATCATCTGTTTTCTTTCACGAATTCTATTTTCACAAAACATGTCCCAGACATATTTCCATGTAAAAATAGATCTCAGCCTTAAATTGTTTTTTGTTTGAGATCTTATCCTTAATTTATTTTTTATTTATTTATTTTCTTTTACCAGTCGACATCCCACCAACAGAGAGTCCCTTTCTCCCCACATCCATGCCAGTCTGGTTTTTCTTGTTCTTTTGGCTCATCCTTATTTTAAATAGCGGCATGGAATTTAATTGCATGGATATTTAAACAGTCTTATATTGATAGGTTTTCAGTTCTTTACTACTAAATATAGATCCTTGATGTAAATTTGCCCTTAGGATAAATTTTTAGAAGTGAAATTGCTGAATCAGGCTTTCCAGTTTAAAATTTTGATAGTTGTTTTCTGTTTTTCATAAAAGCTTAAAAAATTAGGGGCTGGAGTGATAGCACAGCGGATAGGGCGTTTGCCTTGCACGCAGCCGACCTGGGTTCAATTCCCAGCATCCCATATGGTCCCCTGAGTACAGCCAGGAGTAATTTCTGAGTGCAGAGCCAGGAGTAACCCCTGTGCATCGCCGGGTGTGACCCAAAAAGTTAAAAAAAAAAAAAGTTAAAAAAATTAGTGAATTTTAGTTTAGACTAACCTATTCCTCAAACTTCACAAGTACTATGTACAGATGTTTTTTTAAAAAATCTGTACAATCTGATAGGTAAGAAAATTGCATGTAATTTTCAATTTTCTGGTGAGATCTGTCATTTATTGATGGGCCATTTGTTTGTATTTTTTAAATCTTCCTATTCTTAGCCTTTACCCATTTTGATACCTGATTTTATTTATTGTTATTTATTATTTATTACAGAAACAATTTGCTCTGCAATGGGCTTAGCCTAAAATCACTCGCTGAGACTGTCTTGAACTTTTCTCTAGACAAATCACTTCAGCTTCGTTGCAGCAACTGGAATGCTGAAAATCTTACAAAGGACCAGGTACTTCTCTCCAAGTCCTTACTTGTGAAATAGAATTGTTTCCAAGATTCTAGATCTCTAGTTGGGAATGTAGTGCAGTGGTAGAGTACTTACTTTGCATGTGGGAGGCCTGGGTTTGATCCCTAAATAAATAATAAATAAAATTGCAGGTCCCAAATGTAAGTATTAGGTGGAAATGCTTTAAAATGAACTCATCTGGGGCCAAAGAGATAGTACAGTGGGTAGGGTGCTTGCCTTGCAGCAGGCCAACCTGAGTTTTATCCCCAGGATCCCATGTGGTCCCCTGAGCATCACTAGGTGTGACTCCTGAGCGCAGAGCTAGGAGTGGCTAAGCAATGCCAGGTGTGGCAGAAAGAAACAAACAAACAGAATCCAAATTAAAATAGACTCCTCTGAGGTCAGGGTATAGTACAGCAGTAGGCATGCAGCACCTGTCTAAATTCACCCAGTCTGGGATTTGGGGGTTTGCTTTGATTTTGCACCGTACCTGATGGTGCTCAGGCTTACTCCTGGCTCTGTTCTTAGGAATGACTTCTGTGGGGGACCATATGGGGTACCAGAAATCAGAGCCAGGTAGGCCATGTGAAAGACCAGTACCCTACCCACTACACTATATCTCTGAACCCCATCTAGATTTGATTCCTGGCAGCACATGGTCTCCCCAAATAGCCTGTGGATGTCCTTGAGCACTGTTGAGGTGGTCTTGGTAATCCCTGATACTGTAAAGCCCAAATAGCATTGTATCCTTGGACCTTTGCACTGATTTGGGGGGGGGGGGGGGGTTGTTCTTTTGTCTTTTGTTTTTTGTCACAACCAGCAGTGCTCAGAGCTTACTCCTGATTCTACACTCAGGGATTACTCAAGGCAGGGCTCAGGGGACCCTATGGGGTGCTAGGAAATCAAAGCTGGGTCAGCCACATGTAAGACAAGTACCCGCTATACAATTGCTCGGGTACCCTAAGAGATAACTAGAAAGTCAGCTCTACCCTAACAGACTGACATGTTTCTTGCATTTGAACCAGCATCTGAGTGATTTATATTCATAATAGCTCTTGAGAACTGAGCTTGTGAAGTTAATTTGTGACACCCTGCATATCTGAAAGGGTATTGATTTCTCTTATTATTCATTGACATTTTGGCTGTGTAGAGCATTTTAGGTTAGAAATTATTTTCCTTCAGAAATTGAAAGCAATGTTCCTTGATAGTTTCCAATATTGATGTAATTACGTGATTTGACTTTCTTTCTAGAAAAATCTTCTTTATTCTGTTTTTACTAAATTAATGATATATGTTAGTATGGACCATTTATTCATTATAACATTAAGTGTCAGTTAGTTTCTCCCCAATTTGAAACCAAATGTATGATCTATAAAACTATGAGAATTCAGAGCCAGAGAGATATTATTAGTGGGTAAAGTAAGTGCTTGCCTTACATGTGGTGGACCTGGGTTAGACCTCAGGACCCCCATATGATTCCCCTAAGCATCATCAGGGATAATTCCTGAGATCAGCCAGGAGCAAGCCCTAAACACTAACCAGGTATGACCAAACTGCACCACCCTCCCCAAATAAAATTGTGAGAATTTACAAAACCTTTTTTTATCTTTTGCACCACCCTAAGTGGTACTCAGGGGTTACTCCTGGCTCATGCATTCAGGAATTACTCCTGGCAATGCTTGAAGGACCATATGGGGTGCTGGGATTGAACTTGGGTCAGCCATGTACAAAAGCAAGCTCCCTACCTACTGGTCCTATTTTTTATTTAAATAACCCTTATTTATAAACTAATTATACATATAACAGTAATATTTTAGAAAGTATATAAATACTACCTAGATTTGACATTTAACAAAATGGATTGAGGGGGCCAAGAGATGGCTCAGTGATGAAACCAATGTGAAGCCCTAGGCCTGATGCCCCCGTGCTGCCAGCCGATCCTGACAGCTCTGCCGAGACCCCCACCGAGCCCCACACAGAGACAGATGTGGGAGAACTGCAGCCAGGCACGTGGCCCTTGTTGACTGTGATCGTGAACAACCCCAGTGATGCCCAGTGAGCATATAAACAGAAATAAAGGTGGTGACCACCACAGCTAGTGGGTGTGGCTCTTGGCAAGCTCCTGTGCAGCCCTGATGAGCTCCATGACTGAATGCACAAGCACCACAGCCAAGCTTGTGTGCGAATCCTGATCATCAAAACAACCACAGCAACAGGAAAGGGAGGAAGAAAGGGAGGGAGGGAGGAAGGAAGAATGGAAGGAAGGAGCGAGGGAGGGAGGAAGGAAAGGAGAAAGGAAGGAGAGAGGAGGGAGGAAGGGAAGGATGGGGGAAGGGAAGGGAAGGGAAGGGAAGGGAAGGGAAGGGAAGGGAAGGAAGGAAGGAAGGAAATAGAAAGAGCAGGACATAAACAACTGTAGGTCACAGTCAAAGGTCAGTCTTTTTTCTAGGCTGCTTAGTTTCTCCAGAGACAGGTTTTTTTAGCCTTCTGTGTAAGAGGGGTCATGACTGGAGCTTGTATTCTGAGTGAGGGAGAAGTACTGCTACCTTCGTCAGTCAATACATCTATCTTTCCATCTTCCCCCTTTTCTCTCCACCATGCCGAATGTTCTAGGGCCAGGTCTTCCGTGATTTAGCCATTCTGTGTCTTAAACTTTGATTCTTTTGGGTCAGCGAAGGAACCTTTGCCTGGCCCTGGGGGTGTAAAAGAGGAGGTCTTGGGTTGTCAGTGTCCTCTATCAAGATTTCCCCCTTAATACTCCTACTTATATTGCTCTAGCAGACACCTGGTACCTCTGTGCTTTGCCACTCGGTGGCTCAAAATAATTTTATTTATCTGAGAGGGTTGTTAATCACTACTTGCAGGCTCTGGTTTCAGCCTTCTCTGTTTAGTTAATCAGTTACTACTTGTTCATCCTTCCAAAATGTTGTCAGTGAAAAGGTTAGCAGTCGTATGTATCATAAGGTTAATATTCTGTGGGAGAGTTCTGGAGTCAAATTATCTGTGCTTGTTTTCTATTGTGATTTCTGATTTGCTATGACCTAGTAAGTTAGTTCTTTATGTCTGTTGGCTTTCCTTCCTTCCTTCCTTCCTTCCTTCCTCCCTCCCTCCCTCCCTCCCTCCTTCCTCCTTCCTTCCTTCCTTCCTTTCCACTAATTTTATTGAATTGTAATTTGCATATGACAAAATGTACCCATTTAAATTACACACACCAGTGGTTTTTAGTATATTTGCAAAGTTTGACAACTGTCACCACAATCTAGTTTTAGAATACTTTGATCACCTCCAAAAGAAAACGTGTGCTCATTAGCGATCATTTCTCATCTAGTGCCATCACCTGAGTTTGATCACATGTGGTTTCTAGAGAATACAAGCATATCAGCTAAATAAAACAGTATTAAGCGTTTAAATGTGTGTGATGTTGAGAATCCTACTTAGGGCCTGATTACCAGAAAGAAATGGCAAAGGGACTGAAGATAAATCAGGGGAAGGAGATGCACATGTTGAATTTCAGTGATACACCTGAGACCTATATAATATTATAATGACCCTTTAGAAAAATAAATAAAATATTTTTTTTGGAAAAAATTTTTTCTCGATAGCATAGCCGGTAGGGCGTTTGCCTTGCATGCTGCCGACCCGGGTTTGATTCCTCCATCCCTCTACGAGGGCCCGGCAAGCTTCCGAGAGTATTCCACCCACACGGTAGAGCCTGGCAAGCTCCCCTTGGCGTATTTGATATGCCAAACACAGTAACAACAAGTCTCACAATGGAGACGTTACTGGTGCCCGCTCAAGCAAATCGATGAACAATGGGAGCAGAGTGCTAATAGTGCTACAGACTTACTTATTCTAAATATGTCCTCACATAGACTCATACAGTATATGCATATCTGTGATTAGCTTTTTCACTTACCATGTTTTAATGGTCTATATTTTAGTATATATGAGAAATTAATTTCCTTTGCTGCTTAAAAATACTTCATTTTTGGGTGGAAAGATGGTGCGAATGACTGGAGTACAAGCTTATGTGCAGAAGACCCGGGTTTGGTCCCCATACTTCATGGTTCCCTGAGCACTTCTTGGAGTAACCCCTGAGCACTGAACTGGGCAGTAGTCCCTGAGTACAGCCAAAGTAGCTGCACCATGTTATAAACCCATCAACAATGTATGAGGGTTCCAATTTACCATATCTTGACCAAAACTTATAATTGCTTTTCAAAATTTTATATTTAGTGTCTATAGTTGAACATTTTCATTCAACTTCCTTTAATATAAATACATAAAAGAATCCTGCTTAGGAACCCACTGTGGGAATCTTTCTCTTAAAACCTTTTCTGAGCAATATGGAAAAGTAGGACAAGAACTCCCATCCCAGGGATACCCACAAATCACAAATACGTTCCTTCAAAAGGATGTATGCACACTAGTGTTCATTGGAGCACATAGTACAATAGCCAAGGCATGGAAACAACCCGAATGGCCAACTACAGATGAATAGATCAAAGGTTGTGTGTATACAAAATGAAATGATATGCAGCTGTGAGAAAGGACAAAATTGTGCTATTCGCCATGAAACTGATGAAACTAAAGTATATCATACCCAGTGAAGTCAGTCAGAAGGAAAGGGAGAGGTGCAGAATGATGCCTCTCTTATGTGGGGACCTAAAGACAGACAGTAAGGAAGTAACAAATGGCCACAGGAAACAGAACAGGAGAGTTGGTCGACTTAACTCAGCTTGGAGGTGGAATGGGGGTGGAACGGGGGCCATTTGGGACGTTGGTGCAGGAAAGTGGGTACCCTGGTTGTGGGTATGGTGTTGAAATGATGTATGCATGAAACTACCATCAGACAGTATTTTAAGTCACAGTAGCGGAATAAATTTTTTTAATGAAAAAAGAGAAAAAAATCTTACGAATTCAACCTAAAACTATTCTTAATAGTAAAGGTAAGGTAAAGGTAAAGGCCCTCCCGTTGATCATCGATTTGCTCAAGCGGACCCAGTAATGTCTCCATTGGAGACTTTGCTGTTACTGTGTTTGGCATATCGAATACGTCACGGGGAGCTTGCCAGGCCCTGCCGTGCGGGCGAGATACTCTCGGTAGCTTGCCAGGCTCTCCGAGAGGGACAGAGGAATCGAACTCGGCCATGTTGGCTGCGTGCAGGGCAAACGCCCTACCGCTGTGCTATCGTATTATTGTTTACTAAACTTAGTTATTAAATGTGAATGAAAGGAATTTTAAAGTGCTTATACCTTTACTAGAAAAATTGTGATAGCTTTTACTATTTTTTGTTACCGTTGCTTGGGAGAATGACTTACCATTATTATAGAAATAAAATCCAAAAATGAGACATTGTGACCTTTGATTTGAGTTTTCAACATCACACTCGAGCTACAGCAGGTTATTTCTGACTTACAGTCATCACATGATCTCAACTATTCAGGAGAATAACCATTTCCAAGTGAATTTTATGTACCAGTGTCAAACCCCTGGGAACTACCCTAACTCAAACTTGAGAAAAGTCTGTCTGGTTTGGTAACTGATAAAAAGAAATGCCCCTGATTTGTATAGCATAGGTTTTTCAAACATTTGGAATAAGTATTTTAGCTAAAAGTATAGGCAGGGAGCATGAGAATTCAGTATAGTGCTCAATTTACTTTTGTATCGTTTAAAATTCTGAGTTTTAAAACAAGTACAGGGTGCCTTGATTATTGTGCACCTTGAATTAGAATTTTGTTTTTGGAGACACACCTGGTGATGCTCAGGGCTCTGCACTGAGTAATCTCCTGGTGGGGCGTGAGAGATCAGCAGGGGGTTCAAACTGGGTCGGCCGCATGCAAGGCAATTGCCCTACCATCTGCACTGTTACTGCGGCCCCTTGAATTAGAATCTTAAAGGCTACAGCTGATAGACTTGGAAGTTCCTCTCTGGTCTGTGTTCCAGTTTCACTCATCTCTCTGACTTGCCTCTCCAGGTTGTTTATGCTGCCAGGGATGCCCAGATTTCAGTGGCTCTCTTTCTCCATCTTCTTGGATACCCTTTCATTAGGAATTCAACTCTGGAAAGAAACAGTGATCACACTGACTGGAGAAAAGTCTTGGAGAAATGCCAGGATGTGATAGACATCCCATTTCGAGGCAAAGGAATCAGCAGATTGGGAGAGGAGGTTAATGGAGAAGCAACAGAACTTCAGCCAAAGCCAAGAAGTAAGAAGTCCAAGATGGATGGAATAATGCCTGGCAGCCACCCAGGGAGAGACCCCAGAAAACATAAAAGGAAGCCCTTGGGGGTGGGCTATTCTGCTAGGTAAGCGGATTGTTTCCTGTATGGTAGTCAGTGGCCGAGCCTCCGGAAGGAGGAAGGGCAGACGGTGCCCTCCTTACCTGGGGTCAGGGGAGAAAGCTCCCATAGTAAGGCAGCCAGCACGCTCCAGGGGTTCATTTTATTTTCTCTCTTCTTTAAGACTATCTGCAGCAGTTCTTTGATTCATTTGTGTTTTCTCCTTCTCATCTTCCACTTTTTAACCTTTGACCCGTTGCAGTGAAAATGAGGAGCGCTTAGCCCTCACCCCAATGTGGTGGTAGACCTGTTAGACGCGAGAATATGATTGTTATTCCTTGTTTATTTCTTGATAGCCGAGAGAATGAAAAATGTGAAACCATATACTTTCCAGGAGAAACGTTCAGTCAGTTCCTTGGTTACTTGGTATTTGATTATTTAGAATGGCGTTTAACTCTAAGCCCATGTTATTCTCTAGACAGTGAGAATTTTTCTGTACATCTTACTCCTCTGTTGCAGAAAGGTAACTAATAAGAACTTTGCAATTTGGTCCCAGTAGCAAATTGCCTTTAGAAATAATCAAAATGATGGAGTTGAAGCAAGTATTGGTTATAAGCCGGAAATAAATTCACAAAGCCCTTATTACTTTAGCTTGAAGTTCTTGATTTACTTTGTTTATCCTAGTGAGTACACTATCGGGAAGATTTCGTGGTTCTCTGTTCCTATTTGCTTTCACAATAGAGATGTGTAAACACTCCCCAAACTTACTCCCTGGTGACCTAATCAATAAATATAAAATGTTTAGAAGTATCGGAGCGGGAGAGATGACTTAAGGGCTTATGTGCGTGCTTTGCATGTGAAAAACTCACGGGTTTTTTTTTTTTTTTTGCTCTTTTTGCTTTTTTTGCTTTTTGGGTCACACCCGGCAATGCACAGGAGTTACCTCCTGGCTTTGCACTCAGGAATTACTCCTGGCAGTATTCGGGGGACCAAATGGGATGCTGGGAATCGAACCCAGGTCGGCCGCGTACAAGGTAGATGCCCTACCCTCTGTACTATTACTCCAGCACCAAGAAACTCATGTTTGATACTTGACACCTCATGGTCTCCTAAGCACAACTGGGAGCTCCCTGAGCACTGTACTGGAAGCACTTCCCCTGAGAACTGCCTGGTGTGGTCTAAGAACAAACAAAAAACCACCCGTTCCCCCAAATCAGAACAACTAGAAATTTTATTATTGGGAGGCACACACATTTTTTTTCAGGGCTTACTCTTAGACCTGTGCTCAGGAATCATTCCTTACCATAATTTGGCGATCATTTGTGGTGCTGGGGATCAAACCAGGATAGAACTGTGTGCAAGGCAATAACCTTACCCTCTGTACTAGGTCTCGAGTCCCCAACTTAGAATTTTAAAAGAGTTCATTGCTAGCTGTTTTCTGACCCGAATAGAGTTGGAGAATGACCACACTTTCCCTGACTCCTCCCCCCTCCATAAGGTAAAGGTAAAGGCCCTCCCGTTGATCGTCGATTTGCTCGAGCGGGCCCAGTAACGTCTCCATTGGAGACTTTGTTGTTACTGTGTCTGGCATATCGAATACTCTCGGTAGCTTGCCGGGCTCTCCGAGAGGGGCGGAGGAATCGAACTCGGGTCGGCCATGTTGGCCGCTTGTAAGGCAAACGCCCTACCGCTGTGCTATCGCTCCAGCCCATATGTGTTATATTTGACTCTAGTGTGGAAAATAGCTTAAATCACTCAAAAGAGAACATGGACACATGACCGCTTTCAGTATTTCATCTCCCTCTCCATTCTCTGCAGAAAATCCCCGCTCTATGATAACTGCTTTCTCCATGCTCCCGACGGACAGCCCCTCTGCACTTGTGACCGCCGGAAAGCTCAGTGGTACCTGGACAAAGGCATTGGAGGTCTGAGAGTCACTATTTCATCTGCAGTTAGATGCCCGTGGTCCTGGCAGGAGGGGGAGCGGGACAAGGGAGAAGGGTGGTGGAAGGGGGCGACCCCTCAGAGTCTGGACAGAGCCCTGTTTCCCAGGGTACAGCAGAGAGCAGTCATGGGGGTGCCTCTTTCCTGAGGAGAGGTAGCCGACACTTAACGCTTCTTTTCCCAAAGAGCTGGTGAGTGAAGAGCCTTTTGTGGTCAAGCTCCAGTTTGAGCCTGCTGGGAGACCTGAATCCCCAGGAGACTATTACCTGATGGTTAAAGAGAACCTCTGTGTGGTGTGTGGCAAGAAGGACTCCTACATCCGGTGAGTGTGGGCTGGGCAGCACTGATTGGCATCTCTGTCACCCCGCACCGAGCCCCGGGGACCAAAGTTGAATCCGCCTACCTTGGCTGAGGGACTTACCCCTGGGCAACATTCCAGCAGCATCTCACCCCGGCCTAACTTCTGCTGGGAAACCACCTGTGAGAGTGAACCCTGCCTCGCCCCTCCTTGAGTGCTCAGCTTCTAGCTAATACTCCTCAGTTATAGTCGACGTGAAGAGAGCTCTTCCCTTTTGCTTCTGAAGGATGGGAGGTCCGTTCCTTCAGACGTTGCCATTCTTACTTTCTCCTCCTCCTCCCTTGAGTGACTCCCAGCCTTGTTGAAAGCACCCAGATGACCTAGGGACACTCTGTGGAATCACCTCAGGTCCTCACAGAGAAGGTGAAACTGCCTGGGCTGTCTCCCTGGCTTCTCTGCAGTGCCCACTCTCTTCCTTCCTCCCCTTGCATCTGAGACACACGCATGTTGCTGCCGTTCCCCCCCCCAACCCCCCCAGAGTTCAGCTCTTCTTAGAAAACATTGATGGTAGGGGCCAGTGGGCAAGGCGCTTGCCTTGCATGTGGCTGACTCTGTTCCATCCCCAGCACTGCATATGGTCCCCTGAGCACTCCCAGGAGTTAGCCCTGTGGCCCCAACCTCTCCCTCGCCCCCCCCCCCCCCACCACCAGAAAAGAGAAAGGAAAACAGTGATGGACCTTGGTGAGCCAGAAAAACAATCCCCGAGTAAGAGCTTTCTCAGATGAAAGAGAGGGACTTTTCCAGGTCACTAGGCTTCCAGAATTTCAAGATTAGAAACGCCCTACCGCATATGCCTTGAGCGAGTTGTTTTCCAGATGTTAAAGGTCATCAGGACTTCTTTCATTCTCTGGCATTTTCCCTCCTGCGAGCACAGGCTTCGCCGAGGTGGTGGTTAACCTCTTCCTGCCCAGCTTTCCATTGCAGCCTGCTGGCAGGGGCACAGAGCTTCTCTTCAAGAGAGGACCCTGGGCCAGAGAGGTAGAGCGCAGGGATTAAGGTGCTCTGATGCAGTCCCAGCACCACATGGTCCCCTGAGCACCACCAGGAGAGATTACTGAGCACTGAGCCAGGGTGTCTCCCCGCCCCACATCAGATGTGGCGCAAAACACAATCTCTTCCCCTCCCCACTCCCAAAACTAAGAGGAGGGGAACTTCAGGCACAAAGCGAATGGGCAACACTGCTTTTGTGTGGCAGTGCCCCTCACCCCCAGCCCCCTCCCCTCCTCGGCGTCTCAGCCCTGTTTTAGACCAGAGCAGAATTCTGGCAGCCTGTGCTGGCTGAACCCAGGCCGTCCTCGTGCCATCCGCTAATGAGTGCCACCTCTGGGGGCCCGGGGGGATGTTCAGGAAGAACGTGATTCCACATGAGTACCGGAAGCACTTCCCCATCGAGATGAAGGACCACAACTCCCACGACGTGCTGCTGCTCTGCACCTCCTGCCACGCCGTCTCCAACTACTACGACAACCACCTGAAGCAGCAGCTGGCCAGGGAGTTCCAGGCGCCCATCGGCTCCGAGGAGGGCCTGCGCCTGCTGGAAGACCCCGAGCGACGCCAGGTGCGCTCGGCGGCCAGAGCCCTGCTCAACGCCGAGAGCCTGCCCGGGCCCCGCAAGGAGGAGCTGCTGCGGGCCCTCCGGGACTTCTACAGCACAGACAAGGTCACCAAGGAGATGCTGCAGGAGGCCGCCAGCCTGGAGACCAGGTACGGCTGCCGGTGAGGGCCGGAGAAGGGACTGAGGCGTGAGCCAGGGACATGATCCCTGGCCCCAGTGAGAATTGCTGTCCAGGGAGGGTCCTGTCGTGAGGGGGGCAAGGGGAGCAGTGCCAAGCCTCAGGCTGATCCTCGTGAGCGAGACCCTGGTGGCGGGATGGAGCCACAGATGGGAGACTTTCCTTTCCACGAGAGGTTTGCTCAGTGGACTTGATATCACATCACTCGCAGTCGAGTTGTGTCTCCGTGCTCAATAAGTGCTAAAGTCGGCTCAGGTGGTGAAAATAATAGACCAAAAGGACCTGTGGTTTCTGCTTTGCTCCCGAGGGGCAGTGCATGTCGGTGGTTTTGTCTCTTTCCTTATCCAAGTCTGTGGATAAGGTAAGAGACCAGTTTCCCTGCGTTTCCTGTCCTCCAGTAGGATGCTGGCCGGAACCGCTGTCACTGTTGAGGTTGCTTTTCTCCTTCCCCCCCTCCGTGCTTGCTCTCTCCTTCCCCATGAGTACTTAGCAGAATTCACTTAAGTTAAGTGACTTAAGTTAGTGCTCCTGACCGAATGAAAAGTTCATGGTTCTGAGTGCTAAGTTGGTACAAGACCCAGGTGATAAAAACTCCTAACTGCCTGTTCTAGCTTTGCTTCCCCCTGATACTAAGGCTGTACTAAGGTTGAAATAATTGAACCAACAAAACTTCAAAACTCGTGATAGTGAGGCTGGTTCTCCTACAGTGCTTTGTTAGTTTAAAACAAAACAAAACTCAGTCAAAGCAATAATTAAGGGGTTGGAGCAATAGCACAGCGGGTAGGGCGTTTGCCTTGCACTCGGCCGACCCAGGTTCGATTCCCAGCATCTCATATGATCCCCTGAGCACCGCCAGGGCTAATTCCTGAGTGCAGAGCCAGGAGTAACCCCTGTACATCGCCAGGTGTGGCGCAAAAAAAAAAAAGCAACAAATAATTATTTAATATGTATAGATATCCATATCTACTTAAACTAATAAACTTTACATAAATTGCCTTAATTATTTCACATAACAACCCCATCAGGTAAAGTTTAAATTTCTGACTCATAACCTCTAATATATCTTACATTTTAAAAAAATCTAACAAGTTTTTAAAAATTATGATTAAATTTTATCCTAATAACTTTTCTATGAGGCTTGTTATTCTCTAAGTATACTTGATGGCCAGAAATTAGAGTTAACTGGTTTACCAAGGTCAGATTAGAAATAAATGACACTGACTCCTTTAACCAGCACCTAAATGGATTCCATAAAACAGACATAAATTTTCCCTTGCCTATCACAGTTCTTCCTCACAAAATTCATCCTGCTGATTTTGTGATGGACTTGGATGTCTAGAATTGAGAACTGATGTTTGAAGAAAGACAAGCAAATTAGAGGTGGCTGGTGTGCAGCATTCTAGCTTTTTAAAACTGGGTTGTGATCCCATGGGGGAGGTCATGTAAGTGAATGTGGAGTTTTGTTTTTTGGTTTTTTGGTTTTTTTTTTTTTTTTACTTTTTTATTGAATCACTGTGGGATAGATCATTACAAAGCCGTTCATGATTAGGTTTCAGTCATACAGTGTTCCAACAACACCCATGCCTCCACCAGTGCACATTTCCCAGCACCGGTGTCCCCAGATTCTCTCCCATCACGTCCCACCACCCACCCCCTCTACAGCAGGGGTACTGTTCTCTCTCTCTCTCTCTCTCTTTCTCTCTCTCTCTCTCTCTCTGAGGGTTGTTTTTTATTTATTTATTATTTTGCTTTTCGGGTCACACCTGGCGATGCTCAGGGGTTACTCCTGGCTTTGCACTCAGGAATCACTCCTGGCAGTGCTCAGGGGACCATATGGGATGCTGGGAATTGAACCCGGGTCGGCCGCGTGCAAGGCAAACGCCCTACCCGTTGTGCTGTCACTCCAGCCCCTCAGAGGGTTGTTTTAAAATAAATTAGTTGGCTGCGCAACTGAGTGGCCACAATAGTGTCCATCTGTGAGGTGAAGACTTGTCTCTTGTGGCAGCCTTCCTCTGAGGAAGAAGACCCTAAAGAGAAGCACCACCTTGTAGTTCACAGTTAGCATTGCACAGCAAAAGAAACTGGAACTGGGGGTGGGGACACTCTACAGAGTCTGTGGCTCAGAATCAGTAAGATTCAGGAGAAGGCTGCATTGGTGACTTACGAATCCTGAAACAAATAAATACGAGAGCAACGTTCTGCACCCACCACAGTCCCCCTGCCAGGCTGAATTTTACACAGTGGCCTTCCCACAGGAGCCGCTCAAAGAGTCTTGGCTCACGTGCCCCTTTGAGCTGTCTCCCTGACTCCCAACCTATTTTTTTCAAGCGCCCATATGGGAAAGAGGATGTTCTAGAGCAGCGTTGTCCAGTGTTTACCACTTCCAGGAGGTCACTGGCATGATGGAACGGGGGGCAGTAACCATGGGTGTAGTCGGGTGGGGGAGGGGGGCACCCGATTTCTGTTTGTTCCCTGAGAGAAGGTAGATTTCGGGGGGACCACTGAGGAAACTTTTTCTGAACAGGGGGTGGTGGTAGACCAAAATTATGACCGGAGCCATCTGTGAAAGACCCCCTCCCCCACCTCCACCTCCACTCCGGGTTCGCCTTACCCTCAGACCGTCTGTACTTTGTGTCTTGACAGGATTTCCAACGAAAACTATGTTCCTCACGGTCTGAAAGTGGTGCAGTGCCACGCGCAGGGCGGGCTGCGCTCCCTCATGCGGCTGGAGAGCCGCTGGCGCCAGCACTTCCTGGACTCCATGCAGCCCAAGCACCTGCCCCAGCAGTGGTCAGTGAACCACAACCACCAGAAGCTGCTCCGGAAGTTGGGCGAAGACCTGCCCATCAAGCTGTCCTGATCGCGGCTCTCCCCAGGTCAGGCCCCTGGGAAGCTGGAGCCACAGTTGCAGAGTCAACCGCTTCTATTTGAAATCCGTTGTGACTGGTCAAAGCCTGGGGGGGACACAGCTCAAGGACTCACCCAGACTGGTCCCGGTGCTTCTCCCGGTGGAACAAGGTTATTGTTTTCAAGGGAATGGATGGCTTTGAGTTTCCATGGGGCGGGGTGAGACTTCTTTCTCCCATTCTCCCATTCAGATGGTGGGGGCAGGGTGGGGTGGGATTGGGGGGTCCTTTGTTTCTGCCTCTCTCCTCTGTTTTCTCTGTGAAGGCAGTACAGTGACGTGTCAGGGCTCTCTGGATTTTGATACAGTTTCTTCCCTGGGCAGCAGGCAGGCTTTCCCCAAACGGGAGAAATCGTGTATTTTAATCCAGCCAGGTTAAGAAGAAATGATCCTTCCGGAGGTTGGAGAGGGGAGCAAGCAGCCAGATTAATATTCCCAGGGCAGCCGCGTAATTAGAAACTGTTGGGTTTAATGCTCTGCCACCTGGCAGGATCTATCCCATCTTGGCACTTCAGCTTCTTTCACAGGCTTAAAAAAAAAAAAAAATCGCTTTCCGAGTCCAGGACCAAAGCAGCAGCTGCCTGCCGTGGGCTTCCACCCTGACCCCTGGTGTGGGGGGGGGGGGTCCTTTTCTGGAAATAGACCTTTTTCCCATGAAGGAACCAAGGGACACAGAAGCACAGACCCAGAATTGGGATAATTTGCTCAACTTTTGCTTGCCAGTGTTTGTTGTCCACTTCCTGCATTCCTCCTGCCCCGCCCCGCAAGGTTCTTAACTGAATCTCTTCCTACGAGGATGGTGACCTTTCCTCCGAGTCAGTGTCATGTCCCTCCAGTATTCTGTGCTCCTTCTAGTTTGCTCTCCTGCCCTCTTCCCAGAATTAATTTGCTCAAGTCACATCGTGAGGATTTCTCCATCTCTTGCCTCAAACGCTGAAATTAAGTACTACCTGTAGATGTTCCATGCAGGATCGCTTCCCCTTTTAAAATGTGGAATTACTACTTGGAGTCTCGAGATCAGTTTTATTGGTGATGAACGTGTTTTGTTTTTGTTTTTTTTTCCCTAAAATCTTTCTTACTTTATAAGATCTTAACAATCTTAGTCCTTTCAGAGCCAGAATTTGAAAAGAGCTTTCTTTCAGAATTGTGCCCTGCGTGGTAACAGTTGCTCTACATTGATAAATAAAACTTCTAAGCACAAAGTTCGGTGATTCTAAGTGTAAGACTTCTTTTCTTCATAACTCTGTACAATTGGTAATTATCCTTGGGGAGGAGATATTTATCCTACAGGTCCCCGTCCCATGGCAATGTTTTGTCATGTCTGCACGGACAGTAATACCACACAGTGTCTTCCAGGGGCCCTCAACAGCCCCCGCCCCAACTCCCACCCACCCCCAGTGTAGGCTCTTGCAGTCTGCCCTGTGCTTGTTCTGCTATCGACCCCTCTCACCTGCAGTCACCTTCCAACTCTGGGCGCCCCGTCCTGGATCACAGACCTTGCCACGCACCGCTGTGGGGCAGGGGGATATATGGCCGAGGGTGTGTGCTTTTCTGGTCCTACACCCCAAGTGGTTGGTTGTGCTGCGGGGTACCCCTGGAAGGAGAAGCATGAAGAGGATCAGGGGCCTGTCAGCCCTTAGGCTTGCCACCAGATGGTGCTCTGATTTTGGTTCTTTCTTGAGAGAAGAAAACCTGCATTTTTACATGGTTACCGAAGAGAACATGTGATTTGTGTTTTACGGTGCGCATAGCCAATTGTGAGTCATTTCTGAGAGCTTTGCGGGGAAAATGTCTTCCTGTGAAATGAGGGAGTAGGGCTCTCTTTGTCTTTCTTGTGGGAGGCACTCGTGGAGTCTTCAGTGGAGCTGCCCCAACAGCCTGGTGTCCCCAAGCTGGCGGCCGTGGTCGAGAAAGGAGCTAGACCGTGGCCCACAAGATTCCTCAGCCTTTCCCACAGGAGAGTCACAATGTGGGTGGGAGTCTGTGTTCTCCGTGTCAGCTTTGACCTTGAGCCCCCTTTCCCTAAGACTAGCACTTGCTCTCTCAAGTGAGTGAGATGTGTTAGGGCAGGTGTTTCGTCAAATAAAATATCGTTTTCTGATATAGAAGTAATGTGTACTCATTGGAAAAGAGTATAAAGGAAGAATAAGAGTTGGACATCTGGGGCTGGAGCAATAGCACAGCGAGTAGGGTGTTTGTCCTGCATGCAGCCAACCTGGGTTCGATGCCCAGCATCCCATATGGTCCCCTGAGTACCACCAGGAGTAATTCCTGAGTGCATGAACCAGGAGTAACCCCTGTGCATCACTGGGTGTGGTCCAAAAAGAAAAAGAGTTGGACATCCTCCCAAAAGTTAGAACCCGGCTAACCTTTGCTGCTGACATATTCATGAATTTTTCAGTATCTAAAAATGCACATATTTAAACAAAGTCGAGTCATACATATAGGCAGCCCTGAATCCTGATATTTTTTCCCCTCTTCTACGGGGTCACAAGTAACTTCCTGTGGCGTGGACGCTTTGAAAGTAGATTTCCAGTGGTGGTCCATTCCCACACAGTTGAAAGGTCGTTTCTTTCTGATCCTTTGTCACCATCAGTGATGCTGTGGAGGATTTTCTTGTGTAGAAATCCTTTGACTATGTGACCCGTTGTTTCTTTGCTAGGAACCGGATTCTAAGCTCACCTTGCTGGAGAAGGCACCTTGTTGGAGAAAGCACCTTGTTGGCACTTGGCAGCAGTGTCTGTCTCAGCCCATTTGCTCATGTCTCTGGGTGTTTTCTTAGTGTGCACAGGAGTGACCACGAGAGGACAGTGTCATGGCGGGGACCTCCCAGGTGGCCCTGACCTTTTCGCTTGCAGGCTCAGTCTCCTTCTGCTTCTCTTCTCTCTTTTGCACTTTACTGGCTCCTTTCCCCAGCAGTCAGTCATTTTTGGAACACTCTTTTAAAATTAAAAAATGTAAACTTAAGGGCTTGGGGAGATGGCTCAAAAGACTGGAGGCAAACTTTGCATGCAGAAGCTCTGGTTTCGGACCCCAGCACCACATGGTCCCCCAAGTACTGCTGGGAATCATCCATGACCACTGAGTCAGGTCTAGCTACTGAGCACCACCAGTTGTTGCCATCAAGTATTTTGCTAAGAATAAGTTATAGTTGGGGCTGGAGAGATAGTACAAGATAGTATAGTGGGTAGGGTGCTTGCCTTGCATGAGGTTTGACCCCGGGCATCTGAGCTTGCCGGGAAGTAATTCCTGAGCATAGAGCCACGAGTAAACCCTTGAGCATCACCAGGTGTGACCCAAAAACCTGGGGAAAAAAAGTTATAGCTACTTTTCTATTAAAAAAGTAAAAAAAAAGTTTGGCCACACCTGGCGGTACTGAGGGCTGACTCCTGGCTCTGCTCCGGGATCACACCTGGTGGTGCTTCAGGGACCGTGTGTAGTGCCAGGAGTCAACCTGGTCAGTCACGAGCCTGGGAAGAGACTTAATTCCTATCCTGCCCCATTTTAGAGATTGTGTGTGTGTGAGTGTGTGTTAGGCAAGCAACTAGTAACTTGTCATTCTGTAATGAACAAGACTTTAGACTGACCAAGCCTCAAGAATTGCTTATTCTTGGTTTTAGCTTTTGTTCTTGTGCCATAATTGGTGTTACTAGGGGGATACTCCTAACGTGATTCTGGAGGACCAGGCAGCGCCAGGATCGAACCAGGGCCTCTTGCATGTAAAGCATGTGTTCACCCCAGTTACTTAGGCTTAACTCTGTCATAGAGATCAGATGACAGAATGGGCCCTTTTGAAATAAAGCCATTTTATCCCTCATTTCAGACTCTTAGGCTTCCAGTGGGCAGAAAGAGCTTTTGTTCAACTTCCTCTCCCTCCTGTTAGCTTGGGGCCCTAACACTGGACTGTGATTTCAGTTCTTAGCTTACCTTGCCTGTCTGAGGCTTTTGCTTATGCACTTAACTCTTTCTTCTTTTATTATGCCTCATTCTCATGGAAGTCATCATTTTTTTTTCTTTTAAAGAAGATAGTTTTTGAGTTTGTCAGTTTAAATTAATGGTCTTTTGTCTTTCCTGTTATTGAGTCGGTCCTTTTCAAAGTCCCTAAGAGCTCAGTGAAAATCAGTTTTTCTTGGAGTTATACCCAGAAGAGGTTAAGAATCACTTTTGTTAGGATTAATTCTTGATTTGAATAACATAAATAATAATCCTCAAAATACCACAGTTTTGGAATTCATCTGTGCTTTGTAGGAATTTTCCAAATTCCCCGCTTATACCAGAATTTCTGCCTGTCACAGTTCTGAGTGAGTTTCATGCCCAGTGATGGAGCAGAGCTGCCCTGTAGCCCAACATCCACTCATGCAAAAGCACTTTTGCACCAGCCTGCCGGAAAGACCTTGGTTACTCCCTTACATTGAAGCACCGTGGCCTGCAAAAATGCCAACCTGTTATTTGGGCAGGTGTGGGTACATTAGACCTTGTTTCTTTTAACTGACACAGGTTAAAAGTTAGGCTATTGGACGTAAGATTCTATGGGTAACTGGGTCAGTGCACATAAAGACTCTGGGTAACTGGGCCAAATGAGCAATCATTTGAGGGATGATCTAGAGCTGTCTTCCTTTATATAGAAACAGGGACAGTTAGAGGATCGAGTTCACACTCCCAGGCTCTCTCATCCAGTGGGGTGCACAGTACCTTTAAAGATCCTTCTGTTGGGTCAGAGAGATGGGACAGATAGAGTGCTTGCCTTGCCTGGGGCCGACCCGGGTTCTCTGCTGACTGAACAGAAGTAGTAGCTCCCCTGCCCTCTAGGACCCAGGAGAGGACCCAGAGGGTTGGCATGCATGCCTTATATGTGGGATCCCTGGGTTCCATCCTCAGTTCTGCAGGGCCCTGAGAGTGACCGAGCCAGAAGTAGCCTGCTCTCCACACCTGTCCCAAGCAGCACAGGGTATGCTCCTATCCCTCATTTTTAAAAAAAATCTCATACTCTCCAGAATAAACTCAAAGTATTTGCCCTCAATTCAACTACCTTCTGCCTTGCTCAATGGGTAACCTGTTGCCTTTCTGCCTGCAGAAGCGTCACAAAGCACTGTACATAGCATTATTTATTATAAGCATGTGTGGCCCAGAATGTTCTTCAAATGGGGAGACTTTGC